GCTCAAGCTATCCTCTTGCCTCAGCCTCCCCAGTAGCTGAGACTACTGGTGTGCACTACAACACCAGCTAGTTTTTCTATTTTAGTAGAGACAGGGTCTTGCTCTTGTTCAGGCTGGTCTCAACTCCTGAGAGCAAGCAATCCTCCTGCCTCAGCCTCCCAGAGTGCTAGGCTTATAGGAGTGAGCCACCATGCCTGGCCCTCTTCTTCATTTATTCATGATTATTTTCTTTCTGGGGATCAAAAATGACTATTTCAAAAGTCTGATATCTTCCTCCACTATGAGTAACCATAAAAAGATCAGTTTAGATTTACATGACATTTTTGTGTCAGGATAACGCTTTGTATTCAATAAGATTAATTGGTACCTTTTTTTTTTTTTTTTTTTTAGAGACAGTCTCACTTTGTCACCCTTGGTAGAGTGCGGTTGAGTCATAACTCTCAGCAACCTCCTGCTCTTGGGCTTAGGCAATTCTCTTGCCTCAGCCTTCCAAGTAGCTGAGACTACAGTCTCCCACCACAACGTCCAGCTATTTTTTGGTTGCAGTTTGACCCGGGCTGGGTTCAAACCTGCCACCCTCTGTATATGGGGCGGGCACCCTACTCGCTAAGCCACAGGCACCACCCTAATTGGTACTTTTTAATAACGAAAGTCTACTTCATTAATTACTAACATTAGATCTAATCCTCTCAAATCCTAAAGTTGGAGTGGAATTGCTCACGTTTTACGCCTCTGTTGCATTTAAATTCCTATTAAAAAGGTCCTAAATATTGGCCAGGTGTGTTAGCTCACACCTGTAATCCTACCACCCTGGGAAATTGAGGCAGAAGGATCACTTGAGCTCAGGAGTTGAAGACCAGTCTCAGGAGCAAGCCCCATATCCACTGAAAATAGAAAAACTAGCTGAGTGTTGTGGCAGGCACCTATAGTCCCAGCTACTAGGGAGGCTAAGGCAAGAGGATCTCTTGAGCCCAGGAGTTTGAAGTTGCAGTGAGCTGTGATGACACCACAGCACTCTACCCAGGGAAAAGAGTGAGACTCTGTAAAAAAAAAAAAAAAAAAACAGAAACAAAAACAGGCCCGGCACCTGTAGTTCAAATGGCTAAGCACTAGCCACATAAACCAGAGCTGGCAGGTTCAAATCCACCTGGGCCTGCTAAACAACAATGACAACTACAACCAAAAAAATAGCCAGATGTTGTGGTGGGCGCCTGTAGTCCCAGCTACCTGTGAGGCTGAGGCAAGAGAATCACTTAAGCCCAGGAGTTGGAGGTTGCTGTGAGCTGTGATGCCACGGCCCTCTACCCAGGGCGACAGTTTGAGGCTTTGTCTAAAAAAAAAAAGAAAACCAGAAACAAACAAAAAACACATGCACAGAGTACAAAAAAAAATCTAAAAAGACAGCTGACCAGCTGGTATAGTTATGACATCTAAATGGTGAGTGGGAGAAAGACCAGTTCCTCTATTGTCAAAATAAGGTAGTCCTGTAGCCCTGCTCCTAGGACCATATTTGGCGTACTTTCCAGTAAACCACCCTGGCTTTGTTCCTGTCTGTGTTCCCGAAAAGAATGCTCTAGCCATACATTTGCTTTTTGAGGACTGCTTCAGCCACCATGAGAGAGACACTGTGAGAGCATCCTGAGGCAATGAGGAATCATTGTTCACTGCCAGGAAATGACAGAACCAGACTGACAGTGTTCGTGTGGCAACCCATGATAGAGGCTCAAATGAGCCAAATGTCATGCTGGTCTGCAAGAACAGGAAACAGAGCTGTATACTGGCAATTTTCATAAACAACGGCAAGGCTCCTAAACTAGTGAATCTATATCCATGTTTAACATGCAAGTCACAATTCTGTGTGTTCAGCCATGTTCATGCTCAGAGGAGAGAAAAGGTGGCTGTTAATACCTTCATAATGACAAACGACAGTGCGACAGGCTGACTCCTCCTGTGCCACCAAAGCAAAACTGCCATGAACTTCCAAATTGGAAAGTGTTGCCTTATAAATAGATGACTCCAGCCCCAGGGACAATGAAGTCAGCTCCTAAGATGGAAAAACAGCTTTCAGGTAAGAGCTGTGTAGTCGACACTGGATGGTGGATGGTGTTGCACTAGAGCCTAATCAACCTGTAAGATGCTAGGGAAGGCACAATTCCACCCTCCATCTTTTATTGGATAGAAGAAAACAGGAAAAAGGTGAGGTGGAGCTAAGAGGTAGAAAAGGCTGGCAATTAGGAACACGAGAGAGCAGAAACGAAGGCTAGGGTGGAGGTGCAGAGCAGAGATGCAAAAGCTGGACCCACTGTCAGTGCTGAAAGTAGAAGGCGGCCTCTTGTAGGCTCAGCAGGCAAAAAGAGCTTTCCCCAGGGTGGACTTCCACCAATAAAATCTATCACTCCTAATTGCCCTAGAAATCACTTTCTTTGTATTATCATGACAAAACCTATTTACAAAACTTTATTATCTTTTTTTTTTTGCAGGTTTTTGTTTTGTTTTGTTTTGTTTGACCAGGGCTGGGTTTGAACCCACCACCTCCAGTATATGGGGCCAGTGCCCTACTCCTTTGACCCACAGGTACTGCCCTATCTTTTTTCGAAACAAGGTCTCACTCTGTTGCCCAGCCTAGAGTGCAATGGTGTCATCACAGCTCACTGCAACCTCCAACTCCTAGGCTCAGGCAGTCTTCCTGCCTCAACCTCCTGAGTAGCTGGGACTATAGGCATGTGATACCACACCCAGGTAAATTTTTGTTGTTGTTGTTGAGATGCGGTCTTACTATGTTGTCCAGGCTGGTTTTGAACTCCTGGCCTCACAGATTGTAAGTGTGAGTCACTTTGCCTGGCCTGATTGTCATTATTCTTACCATCACTAACAAATAGTGTTTTTGCATTAAAAATTGTAATTTCTAGGCTGGGAGCAGTGGCTCATGCCTGTAATCCTAGCACTCTGGGAGGCTGAGGTGGGTAGACCCTCCAGGAGTTGGAGACCAGCCTGAGCAAGAGCAAGACCCTGTCTCTAAAAATAGCCAGGCATTGTGGTGGGCACCTGTAGTCCCAGGTACTTGGGAAGCTGAGGCAAGAGAATCACTTGAGCCCAAGAGTTTGAGGTTGCTGTGAGATATGATGCCATGACACTCTACT